AGATGATCCTAAACCTTTTTTGCTGTCTCATACTTCGCCAACTGCGTACCTATCGAATGCTCAACAGTAGTTGATTCAAGTAATGATCTTTGTATTATTTGCTTCTCATATATCTATCAAAACAACATCCCCCTCTTTAATATTTTTTGGTATCATATAAGTTCCACTAACATACCCTTACATCTTCCTACCCTGAAGAAAATTTCTCATTACATAACTTCAGTATGAATAGTTCTTCCCATCCAACCTCACACTTATAAATTGAAGCAAATCATCTCTTTTAATAGTCATAATCAACGTTCACAGAGAACCAGAATGCAAAAGAGCGGAAAACAAAATATCAAATTGCAAAAATTGAACAGAGATTGCAGAAACTAAACAAATATTTTCTTGAAAAAATACCAAAATAATTATAGAAACTGAATACAAATATCAAATTGCAGAGGCTGAAGGAAAGACAAAATACCAATTTTTTTGCAGAAGCAGAAGACAAAACACAAGTTGGATCTACGAACTTGTGTTTGAGATTAAGCCTCGTTTCATAAAATCAGTTTTGATACCATGTTAAAATAATTAAGATGAAACACGAAAAGGAGGCTAGAATTTTGAATGATATGTTTATTATGAATGCTTAATGTTAACCTAAAAACAAATAAAGTATATATAAGTTAAACTAAAAGTACTATTCTATCTTTAATAAATAAGACTATATAAATATTATTTAACAATTATTACATAATGATTATTTTTAAAAATATATATATATTTTAAATATATTGAGATAATATTTTTTTATTTTTGAAAATTGATTTTTTATATCATCACATCAAAATAATACAAAAACATAAAAAAAATATTAATTTGAATTACAAAAAAATAAATTTTTTTAAAGTATTTTTGAAATGCAAAAACAAACATGCTTTAATAAGAAAATTTAATCTAACCTCAAATGAAAAAAATTTATCATCACCTAACTTTTGTACAACATAAAAAAAATCTCATCAATTTATTTAAAAAAATTACTGTATGAAAAAAAATCTAAAGAGAAAAAAAAATTGAAAATATTTGACAGTCTAGCTAGACTCAAGATTGATGGGTGTGGCTGAAAGTCGGATCCAATAGCGTTGAGTTTGGTTGCTAAGCTAGATTGAGCACCTTTATAGCTAGACTCAATAGCATTGGATTTAGTTACCAAGCCAGACTCAATAGCGTTGGATTTAGTTACCAAGCTAGATCTAACAACTATGGGCATAGAAAACAAAAAAAAGACAATATCCTTAACAACATTTTTTGACAAAAAAACAGCAAAGACAACACCCCCTTTGAGTTGTCGTCCATGACTTTACGGTGTCGTTCACTGCAAATATTTAATATCTATAATGTGGTATGTGGTCTGTGGTCTAGAGTGCAATAAGTCTATATCCACAGCAAATGCATAATGTTTTTCCTTTAAAAGTATTATATCTCATGCAGAAAAGCTACAATGACATATAGTATTGACTATGTCCTAACCGCAACCGCAAAAAAATGGTCTCTTTTTCATTAATAAACTGGGTATAATAGTTACTGTTTCAGCCTGCACAAGTGTAATGACACATGCGGCTGTAATAAGTAAACAATTTACTTCAATCAACTACCATAGACTGAAACGTTGGACTAAATAAAATGCTCAAATGTCTTTTATCTTCTCTCATTTTATTTCTTTGTGGGCAGATTCAAACTGTTTACATGTTAACAGTGGTGGAAAGGACATAACCATCAATGAAAACAAAACAACCTTGTCATATGAAGGAGATGGACAAGTAGAAGGTGGTGCAGCTAAATATTTTGTAAATGACCAAAGCTTCTGGGGTTTCAGTAGCACTGGGGACTTTATGGATGATTTTGATTACCAAAATACTCGTTATACTGTATCTCTGCAATCATCAACCATCCCTGAATTATACCAAACAGCTCGCATATCACCAATTTCTCTTACCTATTTCCATTATTGCTTACAAAATGGGAACTACACAGTAAACCTTCATTTTGCAGAGATACAGTTCACTAATGACCATACATATAACAGCTTAGGCAGGCGTATTTTTGACATTTATGTTCAGGTAAGTAGTCACTCTAATGTGAAACTTACATTTTTTTTGAAGTTGGAAGCAGGGACTTAGCTGGATTACTTTGTCACAGGAAAGATTGGTTTGGAAAGATTTCAATATTGAAGATGAGGTTGGCAGTGCTGAAAAGCCTTTAGTGAAACAAGCATTGAATGTCAATGTAACTAATAATATGTTGGAGATCAGATTCTATTTTTCCGGAAAAGGGACAACAAGGATTCCTGATAGGGGAGTTTATGGTCCCATCATATCAGCCATCTCTGTATTTTCTGGTAAGTTGTGTGCAAATGTAAATGTAGAGGGTAACAGAGACTCAGGAAGGCGTGGATAGTATGAAACAAATATTTTATTTATAAGTTCTCCAATATTATGATAAGATAATTTGGTACCTCAAGAAAGTATTATTCAGATTCTGGCATCTAAGTCCCATTTTGGTAAAACTATTACAGAGAACCTCATGTAATTTTTGGAAGTGTCATAATTTAGTTTAAATATCCAATCTGTGTGTGTGTGTGATTGTGACTAATTTTTCTGTTTAATTGGCAGATTTGAAAGTTTGTTCTAGTGGGAAAAAGAAGGGAACTGTTTATGTGGTTGTTGGAGCTGTTGGAGTATCATGCCTGGTTGCCATTATACTGTTAATTCTTTGGTGGAAAGGCAACTTGCCAGGAAAATTGCGCAGGAAAAGAGGTAACGCCATATATATTATTTACCCATGTTTGTGTTAGTAGTCTAATAAAATTCCATGCCGCATCCATGTTTGCCAGATGTAGGAAAAATTGTATGTGGGTATAACTTACATAGCTGCCCAAACTCTGCAGCCTCAAACAGCATCCTATGGATTTGGTTTTCTTTCTAGTATGAGATTATGAACTAGATGGAAACAACTTGAGATTTGTTTGCTAAAATTAGGCATGGACATTTAGGGAAAAGAAAAGCAAAAGAAGCATCAAGTTTCATGGGCTTATCTTTTATTCAGATACAAGTGGCTGCGATATTTTACCTCAAGATGATTACACAGTTATTAATTGTATAAGTTTGATTGGCATCGTATCTAGTAAGGAGGAGGAAAGTTCAGGGTAGACATGCTTATGTTGGACAATGAAAAATGCCTCTTGTCAATGCAGTTTCATGGTCTCCTTTTCTCCAGAACTGATTTTGACTCGTAAGTATCTAAAGACTGACAATTCGTTGGCACTTTATGTCTGTCTCCTACGTGAACAGATGTCAAAGGACTTGATTTTCCAAAGGGAACATTTTCTCTGAAGCAAATTAGAGCTGCCACTAATGACTTTGATGCTTCTAATAAGATTGGAGAAGGTGGTTTTGGTCCTGTATACAAGGTACTTTGCAAACGATCTCAGCTATCCTATTTGGAGTATCCTCTGCCCCCTCCTCTCTCTCTTTTATGTCACAACCATGTGAAATTCTTAACAGAGATCAGCGTGCAGGGTCAATTACCTGATGGTACTGTTATAGCAGTGAAGCAACTTTCATCAAAATCACGGCAAGGAAATCGTGAATTCTTAAATGAGATGGGCATGATTTCATGTTTGCAGCATCCGAATCTTGTCAAGCTGCATGGATGTTGCATTGAAAGTGACCAGTTATTATTGGTTTATGAGTACATGGAAAATAATAGTCTTGCACGTGCTCTGTTTCGTGAGTGTTCATCAATATTAAATGAGAATATTCACCTAAAATATTATAATGCATAGTATAATTGAAATGATCATATGGATAACAGTGTTTTCTTATCGGATGATTTGTAGGTCATGAAAACAATCAGCTTAATCTGGATTGGCCTACAAGGCTTAAGATCTGTATTGGGATAGCTAGAGGTCTAGCTTTTCTCCATGAAGAATCAAGACTTAAGATCGTTCACAGAGACATCAAAGCTACAAATGTGCTACTTGATGGGAATCTGAATCCTAAAATATCTGATTTTGGATTGGCTAGGCTTGATGAAGAAGAGAAGAGCCACATCAGCACCCGAGTTGCTGGGACTATGTTAGTCACCACATGCTTTAATAAAAGCTGCGATTTTTGGTATTACTTTTCAATGTTAAATTACTACAAGTGTTCTTTATCTTGACATGCAGAGGATATATGGCACCAGAATATGCACTATGGGTTTACTTGACTGACAAAGCAGATGTTTACAGTTTTGGGGTTGTTGCTTTGGAAATTATTAGTGGGAAGAACAACAATAACTACATGCCAAGCAACAGCAGTTGTGTTTGTCTCTTAGATTGGGTAATCTTCTTACTGTTCTTAATACGTTGCACTAATATTGTTGCTTGCAAGTCTTAGTTCTGAAGTTTTAAGTCATCGCAGGCCTGCCATTTGCAACAAAGTGGGAGTTTTATAGAGCTTGTTGATGAGACGTTAGGATCTGCAGTTAACATAGAAGAAGCAGAAACTATGGTTAAAGTAGCTCTCTTGTGTACAAATGCGTCCCCTACACTTAGACCTACAATGTCTGAGGTAGTGAGCATGCTTGAAGGACGAATGGCTGTTCCTGACACGCTTCCAGAACTGAGTTCATATACTGAAGATTTGAGGTTCAAAGCCATGAGAGACCTCCGTCAGCACGAGCAAAGTCATAGATTCAGTGGGAGCCAAACACAAAAGTTAACCTCTAGCTCTTCATCTATATCTGAGAACAACAGTTATGAGATAAGCTTAGTACCAAAGCTCTAATCATCTACCCCAGATCATTTGGGGTTCCCGAAGAGCCCTTGACACGAGGAAACGATGCACTGGCTCTCTCACTGTTGTGGTGTTGGGTTTCTGCTATTTATTTGAAATTTAACTCAGCGTGACTACCTCATTCGGCTTAAGAATTTAGCGAGGAATTCATCGTTACATGTTAAATATTATGTTACTGTATTTTTTTCCTAGTTCTGAGAGGGAAAGGCGTCATTATTTTTTATATAAAATTGCAAATTTCAAATTTATCACACGGATCTGTATGTACACTGGAAATTTCGAATCTCATTCCTGATTGTTTTATTGCGGTCTTCCTGGCTCGTTTCCATCATTTTTAACAAATTAACCTGAAGCATACATTCTTCATCGGCCCAGTTCAATGGGAAAACTCTGTAAAGATAATGTTTTGTTCCATTTTCCAAGATAACTTCCAACAGAACTGGTGGGATGCATCAAAGATAAGCGGCTGAAGTTTTGCCGCCATTAATGATTCCACATGCTGGCAGTTCCTTTGATGAATATCAATCAGTGACATTGCCACCACCGACCTCTTTAATGACTGCTCTGTTAGGTGCATTTATTAGTAAGTAAAAAATTGAAAGGACTAGAGGAAGAAAAAACCCGACAAAAATAAGGGTTTCTAACGTTATTGTATACATTACTTGCATTTGCCAGGCAACTTTATTACCAAAGAACAGCTTAAGATATAAATGTTGTTTTACAGCATCGTAAACATATGTAGCCTTACAGCAGTGGCGCTGCATTCAAGCCTCACCTTTTGGCTTATCGTCCCAGGACCTGCCAATTGCCAACTTGCATCACTCTTTTCTGTTTCTATTTTTTAGAACCACCTCCCCTCCATATTTCTTCTTCATTTTTAACTACTCGGTCAAAACCAAATGAATTTAATTAGTCTCGTAGCTTGGTAAATTTTGTTCGAACCATATTAATCAAAGATTTTGAAGTACCTATATACAAGACAAATGCAGTAAATCAGGAAGACAGAGAAATGACAAGCATTAAAAATCATGTACGAGATGATCAACATTTCACCTTCACACAGTCTATGATAAAGATAGGAATCAAGTGGAAAGAATGAGTAATGTCTACTCCAATCAACCTTTTATCTATTTTTTTTCCTTGTAAATTATAAGGAGAACAAATAGACTCCAAGAGGCAACGGTAAAGAGCACATGATTCTCATAACCATAGCAGAATGATAAAATATAAAAAATAAAAAATAAAATTCCTAGAGTCTTTCTGGGTTAGTATCTTGCACATAAATTATTCATTAATTATTTTTGTCTTTCTAGAGTGAGTATATGAAAAAAAAATGAGATTTTTTTTTTGGTGCCATGCGGTTAAAACAATTCAATTAATATAAAATAAATACGAACACAAAAAAGAGAGGAGGCTAGAATTCTTAATTAATTTGTAAAAAATACATCCTTTAACCTAAATACAAAGAGTTTATTTATAGGTTAAGCTAAAAATATTATTCAATTTTTAATAAATAAAATAAGATAAATATATTATTTAACATCTCTCTCCAAACTCACGACGCGGTAGATACAAGCATCAGGAATTTGTCAACTAGAAAACAAAAACAAGAAACGGAATGTGACTTGGTAAAGAAATTTGCAATTTGCAAGGAAGAAGAAATAAAAGGCAAAGTAATGATGCCATGAGATGATGACAAATAAGATGATAATCAATCTCAATGTACTTAGTTCGTATATGAAAAACGGAGTTATGAGCAATTTAAATAGAACTTCGGTTGTTATAATATATAAAAGTAAAATGAGAGAGTGAAACTCCCATATCTATCTCAATGTACTTAGTTCGTATATGAAAACGGAGTTATGAGCAATTTAAATAAAACTTCGGTTGTTACAATATATAAAAGTAGAATGAGAGAGTGAAACTCCCATATCCGTATGAAACTCCCATATCCGTATATAACTAATATAACCAAATAATCTCTTTATTAGTAGATGTCATAGCACGATAGTTTGCTTCAATTGATGATTAAGAAATGATAGATTATTTCTTGCTTTTCCAAGAAATAAGAGAATCATCTAAAAAGATATAGAAATTAGTAACTAATTTTTGATCTATGAGATCATTTACATGATCAGCATTACAATATGCACGCAGCTCCAAGAAAAAGGTGGATAAAAGTAAAAGACTCTGAAAAATTGTGCCCCAAAGATATCACAAAATATAAAGAATAGTTGCCTAATGAACAGTAGTAAAAGCAGCAACAAACTAACTAACAACATGTATAACATATGCTATATCTGAATGAGTAATGGTGAGATATATTAAGCTCCTAACAATAGTATAATATAAAATAGGATCTGTTAAAGGTAAACTATTAGAAGTTAACTTCAATGAAATTGTCTACAGTCTTGTTATTAGTAAGTCTAGTTCGCTCAAGAATATCTGCAATATGTTTCAACTGAGAAAGCAGGTAATCTCTAGGTAAGTAAGCTACTTCAATATCCAGAAAATATCGAAGAGAACCCAAATCCTTCATTTCAAACTGTTTAGCTAGCCTTGTCTTCAAAACTAAGATACCATCAATGTCATTACTAGTGATAATCATATCATGAACATATAAGAAACAAAAATGATACTATCTACATCAATGCACTTAATAAAAAGAACAGAGTCATGACTACTAGAAACAAATCCAAGAGATGAGATTACAACATAAAATTTCTAAAACCAAGCACAAGGTGCTTGTTTACTTGTTTGAGACCATATAACGCTTTCTTGAGCTTATATATATACCTAGAGTCATGTGAAACACCAAGAAGAGGCACCATATAAACTTCTTAAAGATCTCCATTCAAGAAGGCATTTTTAATATCAAGTTGTAAGATATGCCATAGACGAACCAAAGCTACAACAAGAAGAGTATGAATAGTAGTCATTTTCATAATAAAAGCAACTGTCTCCTTATAATCCATACCATACTAGTGAGAGTATCCTTTTGTAAATAACCTAGCTTTATTTCAATCAATAGACCTATTAGAATTAGTCTTGATTTTGTACACCCAACGACAACCAACAACACTCTTACTAGGAGATAGATGAATCAAATCCCAAGTATCTATTTTACACAAAGCTGAAAGTTCCTCATCTATAGTTTGCTACTAAAAAGGATCAAGAATTGCCTCTTTATAAGAAGAGAGCTTAGAGAAACAATGAATAGAAGTTAAAAAAAAAGAAGTAAAAGATGAAGAATAACAAGAATAAGCAAAATTTAGTAGTTTTGAGGACTTACAAATGTGTGTGAATTGACGTGGAGGTGGATCCATAATTCAAAAGAAACTTGAGGGGGTGTAGAAGAGAATAGAGCTACAAGTGTGTTGAAGAGTAAAGTGTTAGTACCTGTAGAATAGTGAGTACAAATTGGTCGAACATGAGGAGAAGTATATGAGGTGCTAAGAACCTGAGATGATAAACTATCAGAATTCTTATAAAAGGGATTTATATGAATAATATCAGGTCCAGTCAAGCCATGAGTAGTGGATGGAATAGAAAAGAAAGGTATATGCTCGAGAAAGATAACATAACGAGACACATAAAGTTTCCGAGTTATTTGATCAAAACAACGATACCCCTTTTTACTTTCATCATAACCTAAAAAAATACACATAATAGATCAAGAGGATAACTTACTACATTCTGCATGGGGACAAAGAACAAAACAAATACAACTAAAAACTCTAAAGGAGGAATAATTAGGAATATACCCATATAATTTTTTAAAATGAGAAAAACCTGAATTATGAGAAGATGAGATTATATTAATCAAGTTTACATTAGTAAGAAAAACTTCCCAAAAATCACTATAAATAAAAGCAAACAACAAGAAAGAATGAGTAGTTTTGATAATGTGCTTATGTTTTCTTTCAGCAACACCATTTTGCTCAGGAGTATCTATATATAAAGTTTAGTGAATGATTCCATCTAAGGCAAGCAACTAATAAAATTTATTAGAAGTATATTCCCTACCCAAATCACATCTAAAACATTTGATTATAATAGAATGTTGAGTTTTTATAAGAGCTCGAAAGGCTATAATATCTCATAGAATTCAAAACACTATTTTATTAAATAAATCCAACAATGACAAGTATTATCATTAATAAATGAAACATAATATCGAGACCGTCATTTTATGGAATAGAAGAAGGTCCCTATATATCAGAATGAATCAAATCAAAAGGTGAAGAAGAAATAAAAACACTTCGATTAAAAGGTAAAGTAAAAAAATTTGCCAATTTACATCTATTATAATTAGAAATATCATAAGTGCTTAAATTTTCTAAAGCTCTCACGAATGCCAAAAATATTAAATGAGAAGATGAAACATAACCCATACGAGAATACCATAAATAAAAACTACAAGATGAAGGATTCAAATGAAAAGAAGACAAATAACAATAGTAGTAGCAACAACGATAACTGACACTTTTAATTCATTTAAAATATATAGTTCATTCTCCTTACAACCTATCCCAATCAGCTTCTGAGATCCTGTACATAACAAAAGAAACCATAAAACATAAATAAATAACCATTAGAATCATATAATTGACCAACAAAAGCAAGATTCAATTTGAGTTTTGGAATAAGATAAACATTAGTGAGAGACTAGTGAAGTGTGACAATAGACCCAACACTTGCTAAGGGCATATGAGTGCCATCAACAATCATAACAAGAATGAAGGGCGAAGGGGATAAAAAAGGTAAAAGATGAAGAATCTGGAGACATATGATGTGAAGCACAATAATCTAAGACCCATTCATAATGTGACATACCTGAGAAACTATGAGGCAACTGACCTATAAAAGGAGCAATATGTGACATACCTGAGAAACTATGAGGCAATTGACCTATAAAAGAAGCAAAAGACATTGCTTGTAGATGTAAGGAGAGAAATTTATGAAATTGCATAGCTAAAGTACTAGGATCATTGATAGAGCTTGAAAAAGTTACTGCTGTTGTATTATGGTATGGTGATTTATAACCCTGAGGTGATCTATGAATATTAGATTGTGATTGGTTGCGAGGCTTCTAAGATTGATTATGTTGTCTCAATTTGGGATACTAAGCCTTCCAATGACCTTTTTACTTATATAAATTGCACTTGTCAATGTTAACCCTTGTGTAAGGCTTATGCTGATGATTAGAGAATAACTCAGAGGGTACCACTAGGATAAAAGGATTCAAAGCAGAAATAATTTTTTTTTCAGAATAAGATTAAAGATCCACTAGGATAAAAGGATTCAAAGCAGAAAGAATTTTTTTTTCAGAATAAGATTAAAGACGCATTTCTTCAGCCACTAACTCACTAACAATAGAGTTAAATAAGATAGTGGAAAGCGATTGATGTGTT